CCAAAACAAGTGTACATGGTACCTGGGCTCAACATTCCTACCACATGTGATTCCTCACACCACATATTTGCATTATGACGTTGTCAGTTGTGCTTTTTCCAACCTTTTCTGCACAAAGCAAACCAGTGCCATTGTCTCTACCGGTCCTCCGAGGACCGGTGGTTCTTAAGGAAAATCCACATGGAGCCTGACCCATCATGGAGAACAATGACCCTGTGATTAGGCCTGGAGAGGGGGTCTGTGGGTACTGGCTGACTAAGGCTTGAAGTTATGAGAGAGGAAATGGTTTGGGACTGTTTCCTTCCTTTTGCACTCTGGGAAGCTTTTGTAACTGGACTTGTACCAGTGTCATTAACTCACTCATTTTTTTCTCCACCTAAGTGGAAAAATCTACAGAATCTTGAATTTTTGACTAATTATTCAGGTCTGAAGGGTCAGGAGAAGAGAAGATGCACTAAATATAAACAGGCTGTGTCAGCAAACTTGGAAGAGTTACTTCAACAGCCTTGTGTCACGCAGCAGAGTAAAATGCTGGTCAGTGTCTGCCCTTGCTTTCTTTAGAACAGCACCAGAGAAGGTTGCATTGGGTTGTTATTGTGTTCTTACGTGAACTTTACTGTGCAGCTGCCTCAGTGTTGTGCCTTCACGGTGCTCAGCACCACGGGTGCTGTGCCTGCACCAGAGCCCAGCTGCCCCTGACCAGGGTGTGCCAGGAGAAGAGCCGGGCGCTGACCCTGGTGGGGTGCTCACTGTCCTGTTTCAGACGCAGGGGCAGCAGTGGTGCCTGGCAGCTAAGGAAGGAAGTATCCCTTCAAATAGCCAGAACAAGTTTGTTTTGGAATTTTTTTCCACTATTCTCCTGGCAAATGCTCTTCTTCTGTAACTCGCTCAGCGGCAAGACCACCAGTACTGGCCAAACAAACACACACAAAGGGGATGCCTACTAGGTCTTTACCTTCCTAAGGGACTGCCTTAGCATAAAGAAATTTATCCTCCCCTTGCTGCAAGTCGGATCCACTGAGTACAAGATGAAAACCATCTCAGCCAGCTTCTGCCCCTCGTGAGAGGGATGTGCTGCTCTCGGAGCTGGCGGCCGTCCTGCTCCACACAGAGAGCTGAGCCCCGACCTTCCCAGGGCCGAGCACGTGAGGACTGAGCCTTTCCTGGGACAAACAGCCCTGAGCTGCAGCTGCCCCGTGGCTGCGTGCTCTGACCACAGTGAAGTTAGAGTGAACCCCTTGTTTTGGTTGGGACCTCTCCATATGGTTGTGCAGCTTTATGAGGAATTAAAATTCTTTGGAACAAGGCCTGGCCTTTGTCTGATTCTGCAAATGTGCAAAAGTTTCAGCATTGTACTTTAATAGCAATATTTATTCAAATCCTGATTCCAGTGTTTATCTTTCCTAGTGCCTTGCTGCATAAATGGTTGCACTGCAATTATTTGCACCAGTAAAAGGAGTATGGGGGCTCTTCTGAGAAGTGGAGGCTTTAAAATCTGACCTTTAAGGAAAATCACTCACTGTGTAAGAGATAATTCTTGATTTTTATTTCTCAAATTGCCATTTGCTTTTAAGACCTTTTTTGTGAGGTGTTGTAAGGGCACTAGTTCAAGAATACCATGAAAATTGAAGTTTGGGTTCAGTGTGTGTTCACTGCACACTTGCTTTTGGGCCCAGCAGAATGCATTATTTATATTTCTGTGTATGTGTATCTTGGATCTGATGTGAAGCTTTTAATTACACAGTGACAAAATGCATGCCCCCTGTAATTAAGGAAATTTTCCTTTCTTTAAATCACATGTTTATATGCTCGTGGACAAAAATGCTTGTCAGGCAAACAGTCATGAGTGGTGCATCTTCAGATCCTGCTGGGAAAACAGCGTTCCTTTTGCTTCTCTGTGCAAAGCAGATGGGAGATAGAGATCAGGGAGGGATCTGGTGGGAACGCTGTCTCCCCTGCCCAAGCCCAGGGAGGATGGAGATGGCAGACATGTGAGCTCATGTGCTTGGTGCTGCCTCAGGACCCAGCAGAGCCAACCATCAGCCCTGCGGGGATTTCCTCGGCTCGGGGGCTGGGTTCACATCCTGACTCCAGAACAAGAGTGCTGGTCCATGTGGGTCAGGAGTCTGAGCTGAGCCTGCCACATGGGCACTGCTGATTCTAGCATGAAGGAAAAGACATAGGCTGCTCTTCTGATCGAGGGAACAGCATTTTTTTAATGGGAAATTATGTTTTGTGGTGGCAAGCTTCTCATTCACGTCTGACTGCATCTTTCTAGTGGAGTAAGAACTGTTTAAGGTGCACTGAGAAATGGAAATCAGTCACGTTACAAGGTGAGCCTCACTGGTTATGAATGATGGAATGGTGCCTTCTGGGAAGTGGTCTTTAGGCAAATCCCTTTCTGCAAAAGGATTAGTTAATAAGATGGGAGATAATCACTCTGTCTGGGGTGGGCGTTTTCTTGTTCTGTGCACTCAGCCCCCGTGCTGGTTTTCTTTGTTGCTCCCTCAGCTGCTGCCAGAGCTCTGTCTGGGGTTCCCATCAGAGCCTGTGCAGGGAATGAGGGGCTCCAAGTACTGGAGCTGCAGAGTAACCAGTGAGAGGCACAACACGTGGTGTAACTTTCACAAGTTACTGAGTGTTATCTTTAAAATGTTTGAAGAGGAATTCAAATTGCCAACTGAATCATTCAAACAGCAAAAGTATTGACAGAGAAGTCAAATTAAGTCATCTTGCCTCCCACTGCCAAGGCATCGTTTTTCTCTGATGGGTATTTTCTGATGACTTTGCTAATTCATTTTCTGTTTGTCAGGGCAGTGGGCAGTTTCTTAATTGGAAAAACTCTGCATCCTCTGCTGGCAAACTTTGTGCTGGTTCCCGGATCCCAGATGCTTTGTGCAACACCCTTCTATCTGTAATAAAACCAGAAAATAGAAAAAGTGAAGCATGTCACAGCTTGTGATTTCTTGTTCGCATAATGCTGCCTGTGTCACTGGAAGTTGCTTATTACACCAGGAAGCATCTCAGGCTCCATAGCTGTGACTACAATGTTCATTAGATTCAGAGAATGTTGTGTCATTTGAAGGAAAAAGACTGTTGACGTTAGGTGGGATTTGACCCCCTCCTTCACCAACATTTACAAGCTTGAGCAAAGGAAAGCCATGTCCTGAATGAGGACATTTCCTTCCTTGATGTCAAATCCATACAGAATGGCTTTACACTGGTTTTCCTGTGGGCCTGGAGGCAGCAGATCTTTGATTGCACATGAAAGGGATGTAATAATAGTGTAACTTTGTTAGCATGATAAATAAGCGTCAGGTTTCATAGCTCATTTTCCTCTAAGGTCTGTGGGTTCAGCTAGAGAAGCACAGGGAAGCAGCAGGGCAGTGGTAGTGGCAGGTTAACACTGATTTCTTCACCCTCATCTGCTTCCTACAGGGCTTGATAAAATTGCATCCCTTCACTTATATGCACGTGAAGTAGCAATGGTGAAATAGGTCTAAGTTGTCTTGTTTCGTGCAAAGTCAGAGCTGCCTTCTCATACTCTGCAGTCCTGATTTACGAGGGTGTCCTGTTTTTGGAGACTGCCAGACAAACAGGGTTGTTCTGCTGATTCATTCTTGCAGCAACATCAGGACAGCCCCCAGCACTGCCTTCCATGCACCTCAGGGAGAGTCAGGCTAAGGACAAACACAGAAGAAACAGTGAAAGAGCCAAACTTGACAAGAAAATTTGATTGTCCTATTTACCTTTAGAAGCAGAGGTCAGAGATGGGTGGGATCTTTCGTTCCCCAAGAAATGGCATGTTCATGAAGGGCAGGTGACTGACAAACCTGCTCTCAGTCAGCTGGAGAGGGCCGGGGGCTGATGCCTCCATCACCACGCTCCAGTTTCTAAACTTTTGAACATAGCAGGTTAGAAGATGAGACAGACCTTTGTGGTCCTCCAGGCTGCTCTGCATATCAGTCCCTGTGGGACTGCTGTGCTCAGGGTGATGTCTTTGATGAAATCCTTTACCAAAGTCAAACTGCCGCAGAGTCAGAAAGACAAGCATTTGACTCTGTCAAAAGCCTGTTCAGTGTTTCATATCAAAGCCACAGGGAAAGTGGGTTCATAGCATGGTAATTTCAATTGCAAAATGCTATTGTATTGTTGGAGGGTGTAATTTCAAGCAACACACACAGCCTGACTTCAGCGTGCTGTCAGTCTGTCATGCTAACAGAGACCACAACTCTGATGAGCAGCTGGAAGTTATAATGTTCTATACTGGGTTATTCCAAGAATATTTCTGAAATGCAGTAATGCTTTTTGCTCCCAGATTTATTTAGTGCAGAGCAAAATCTATGGAAAATTTTGGCATTTCAACATGTGTTGTTTTTTTTTTTTTTTTTCCTTCCTGAAATGAGCTGCTACTCAAAATGTTAACAAATAATAATTGTGGAACAAGGGTTCTGAAAATTTCCCTGTGGGGAATCTGGATTCTCCTTCTCCAAGTCCTCCAAGGAAGGACTATTATCTCCTCCTCATTGCCCAAGGACTCCTGTGGCACTGCAGGCCTCGTGTTCAGATGCAAACTGAGTCACCCAGTCATGAAGTTGTTGGGGACAGAAGGGGACAGAGATAAAGCTCTCACAAGGCAGAAGAAGTAATGTTTTCAAGAGAGTCAGAAGCACAGATCTGGCATCAGTGTGAACCCCAAAATATTCCAACCTGGCTAGAGTCTGCTGGGCCCACCTGAAGTCACAAGGTGGTGACCCAGGAGGTTGTGCACATCAGGTGAGCTCCAGCCACCTTTAAGATGGAAGTAGTTCAGGACCACCCCAGAGATGTCACTCCAGACTTCCAGGAATAACCAAGTAAACTTGTAGATATCTTCTGTTGGTTGCAGGTCAGTGGGCATCTTCAGGATCACAGTTTGGGGAAGGATGAAACTGTAGCCACTGTAAGAGCTGTCTAGCTTCATGTGGAGTAGACTGTTAGGGCTTGGATGAGATGGATTTACATAAAAAAAACACACATTCAGTATAAGTTTGAAGCCTAAAATATTCTGCCATTACACGTGCCAGATTCACTTCAAGAGCAGCCAGCTCAACTCCTCTGAGTTCATGTTCTGCCTCTCAAAATCAGTCTCTTTCCACCTGTTCTGTTTGTTCCCTGCTTCCCAGATGGCATCATCATCCAGCATCTTCCCCAGGCTGTGCAGCCTGGCTTGGATGGTCTCACTCTGCGTTTGGCCTCTGCTGTGATGGCAAATGCTGACTTGCTTCCAAACATCAGTCTGCTGTTGTGACTGCCTCTCATTCCAGCCTGTCCCAGGGATCACCAGCTACTCTCCTCCGTGCCTGCTTTTGTTCCCAGAAAGGACTTTGAGGACTAAGCTGAGATTTCCTTGTTTCCATGGTGTTGCACTTGACCTAATCAACCATTGCAGACCTCAAATGTCCTTGCCTTCAACCTCCCTGCCCATGGCTTCAGGAGAGCACGCTGACACTCTACAGCAAAAACAGGTGGTGTATCTAGAGATAATTAGTGATTACATGCCAGTGATTACAAGCCTATAATGAATAATTAGATGTCAACAGAGTAGAATTACAGTGGATTTAAAGGCACTATGTTTGTTTGTTTGTTTATATGCTTCCTTGTGATTGTAAGGAAGCAAGCAGTCAAATATGTTTTGGCCAGGCTGGTGAAGGAGGCGGAGCTACCATTTGTTTACATTTTTTGTCATGGCCCTGTCCCCTCTGGTATAACCCATGACAAAAGCTGAGTAAGTTCTGCAGGAACCAGGCTGTGACTGAAGATCCTGGTCTGTTTTCTTGTCAGCCCATTTGCTGCCACTTTGGAGGCAAACTGTACTCTCTAAACTGACTGATGCCTTGCAGGAACTAGAACCTGTGCTTGTTATGGTCAGGACTACTTCCTAATTTTTCACTTAATTTTCACTCCCCCAGCTAATCTAGTTATGTTAGAAATTGTGTTCAGTCTGTATTCACTGTCCTACCACTTTCCTTTGAAATCACTGTCATATTATCCCACTCTTATGGACTGGGGGGCTATCCCTTCCACACAGATGTTAAAAATAGATAAAAATAGATAATGTCCATCTATGTTCCTTTTAAGTATGTCCCAGAAAAAAGCAAATATAGCTTACAGGCTCCCTTTTGCAGGGGATAGAAAAAGGCTTCTGTACTACCAATATCCATCACCCCACCACAGCTTGCCCACCACCTCCTTTGCAAGATCACTCTTTTGCAAGTGGTCTTGGAATGGGTTCTTCCCTAAACTCTTCTTCAGCTGCTCTTGTGAAACCCAAGACTCTGACACTGCATCAAATACACCTGGAAGAAGTGAAGAAGTCACCTGAAAAAGAGGGACTTAGTCCAGAGTAAATCTTGCCACATCGAGGTCAGTGTCAGCTATGACAGACCCACAGGGTGGAGGAGAGCAGGTTGTGCCAGTTCCAGACCACCCACCATCCCTATTTCCCAGGGAAATCCTCACCTTAGCTTATAGGATTACCGTGTTGCACAGACACTAAATTAACATCAATGTTTTATCTGCATCATACATGCTCATACCCACCTTTGCTCAGGATGAAGGGGCTTTCCCTAACTTCTGGCTTGGTTCTTTCATCTCAGCTGCTTTTTACTTCTAAACCAGTGGCCTGTGAGTGCCACACCATGAGCAGAGTGTGGTGGAAGGAGCTGAGCTGACTCATCAGACCACAGGCTCGTTCCTGTCTAATAGGGGATTGTGCACCACAAAATTCCATTGTGCTGAGTGTCACCACTCTACGAATTTTACTAAATATGAAAAAAATAAAGACCAAAGAGAGAGATGAACTGATTAAAGAGCCAGATGCTTTCTTGCTGGAGAGGCTGGAACCCAAGGTCAAATTGCAGCATTTCACAGAGCACGGGTGAGTTATCAGCATCAATTGCTGTGAACTTTCTAACACAGTGAGGTGTTTGGGGTTGGGAAAAGGCAGCTTGGTAGTCATTTCCCCACAAAAGCATATGAATGTTGTATCTGTTCATGATAAACTTTGAATGCCTGAAGTTGAAATCAGTCTGCACCCCAGATGTGCTAATGCCTTAACTGCAATACAGCTTTCATGCATCCATAAAACACAGAGTATTTTAAGAATTTCAGACCCATAACTGCCAAATGAACCACTTGCAATATGTGGAGCTAAAATTCTTTTCCCTGTACTTGTTCCATTGCTACAGATTTCTCTTGATAGAACATGGATAAGAAGGTGGCAGGTTACTTTTGCATTAACTGTTAGTGATTTACCTTTCCATTATTTCTGACACTGTGATACAGAAATGAGG